AGACATTTCTAGGCTAGCTTGAAACCGCGGTCCTCAGATCTCAGCTTGTTGAGTAGCTTGGATTATAGGCATGAGCTACCACCACCTAGCTTCTTTTACTCATTTTAATCTCTTTTATATTATTCTTTACGAAGACTTTTCTCTGTCAACTCCATTTGTTTATCAAATGTATATAATATATTTTTATTCTAGATTTTATAGGTTTAGTTTTTGAATTTCCATGTTCCATTTTTGTGATTTTTTTTTCTCTACTCACTTCTTTCCACTTATTGCTTCATTGAGGATAATTATTGTTTTTTTTGAGGATAGTTATTGTAATTGCTTTGAAATTTTATCTTCCAAGTTAGAGCCAATTCAAGGTTTGTCTTAGTAGCTTTCCTTTTCTCCTGAGAATGTGTTCTATTTGTTGATTCTTTGAAATATTTGAAAAATTTGAAATTGTTTCACAAACATTATGGATTAATTTTTGGAGAATCTTTTTTTTATGTGCTTGACAATTGTTTCTTTTGTCTTTGGAAAGAATACATATATTTTTTGTCAGTAGTAGGTCTTGAATTCAGGGCCCGGCTGCTGTCCCTGAGCTCTTTTGCTCAAGGCTAGCACTCCACCACTTTGAGCCACTTTCAGTTCTCTGGTGATTAATTAGAGATAAGCTTTTCATGGACTTTCCTTCCTGGGCTGGCTTTGAACTGTGATCCTCAATCTCAGCCTCTGTAGTAGCTAGGATTACAGATGTGAGCCACCTGTGCCCAGTGGAAGCAATATTTTAGCTAGATTTGCATGGAAAAACCTCTCCCCATTTATTAGCATTTACGATTTTAAACTAGATCTAGTTTTTAAATGAATTTTGATATTGAACTGTTTTGGTTTTACTATTTACCTTACACCCAGTTTTTACCTCATTTACCCTCATACACTGTTATACTACATTTATTATTGTTAATGAACTAATGTTAGTGTATGATTTACTTACTGATGTCTGGTCTGGATTTGAATTATTTTGATTCTTACTGTTTTTCTTTCATGATCCCATCCAGGATGCATGATTACAGTTAATTATCCTGTGCAGGCCTGACTTGATGTTCCAGCTATCTAAGAATACTTCTTCACCAAACCTGAAGAGTCCTCAATTTCTTGTTGATTGGCCATCTATTTTATATTACTTTTATTCTGGAGAATCAATTACTTCTGACCAAGGGAACAAATGTCAACCATTAATTGGCTTATACCAATTCCTGAACTAATCATTGAGCTCTAGTATCAGCAGGATATAGTTCTGTTGATTAATTCAAATCACTTTTTGGGGAGTGTCAGTTACCTAAATCACATGACAAATCTAAATGAAGAAAAAATACAATAGGTTTTTGAAAAACAACCAGTATCATGTAAAGAGCATACACATTGATGACCGATACTACACTTAGTATTATAACTCAGAAAGCTAGACCCAGGTTGCTTCTTCAAGTGTTTTTTCTTTTTTTTTTTGGGTCCGGTCATGGGCCTGAACTCTGGGCCTGGGTGCTGTCCCTCAGCTCTTCAGCTCAAGACTAGCGCTCTACCACTTGAGCCACAGCACCACTTCCAGCTTTTTTTTCCTGCTTATGTGGTGTTGAGGAATCGAACCCAGGGCCTCAGGCATACAAGGCAAGCACTCTACCACTGAGCCACCTTCCCAGCCCCCTCAGGTGTTTTTTCTTATTCATGGAAGTATTTAGTTGGCCAAATACCTACTAGTTAGTTCATCTTTCCATCATAAACACATTGTATCTCAGATTTGCTGTTCAAAAATATTAATTTCTAAGTTTGCCCAAATTGAAATTAAGATTTACACAAATTGAAATTAAGCCTTTAATTTCTCTGTTTATAGAAAAACAAAGATTTAAAATTCTGATAATTTGAGTAGAATTTCTTGGGCTTTTTTGGGGCAGCTTTTTTCCTTTATTTTCTTTGTAGAAGTATTCCATGATAGGACCCCATAAAGGGAGCTTGTCAATTTAGCATCACATGGATCATTTTTAGGAAGGATTGCAGTTTGAGGCCACTTAGTAGGGTGTACAGGGGGGTTCTTGAAACCTTTTCTCAGTAGCTGGATACAGTGTCTAGCACCTATCTTCCTAGCTTCGTGGGAATCATAAACAGGGTAGATCAACCAGAGAGGAGGTTAGACCCTGTCTTAACAATAACTACATAAAAAAGGTCTGGATGTGTGGCTTAGTGGTATCCAGCAAGTATGAAGCCCTGAGCTCAGACCCAGGATGCCCCAAATAACTAAAAGACAAACAAACAAATAAAATGTTCTATTCACAGTTATAGAAAATGAGGTTTAGAACTGGGACCAGTCCTTGTCCCATGTCCGGCTCTTCACTTCCCCATTTCCTTCACGTGGGGGATGTGTTCTCTCATGCACTGAGCTTGCTGTGCTCAGAGTATACCTCAAGACTCAAAATACATTTGTGTTCCTTTGCCTCTGCTTTCAAAATTATGAAGTAAAATGAAATCTTCCTAGAAGCACAGCAGTCAAAGCACTGTTTTCTCTGTATTTGGTATTCCTTCATGAATTTTCTTTTGTCACATTCACTTCTTACTTTTTCTAGGTATTTTCCATGCTGATACATTATTTCGGATTTTTGCTCTATGTCTTCTATACTACCTGCTCTCATTTTGTTATCATTTTCAGTTCATCATGTCTTATAGCCATTGTTCCTTGTCCTTTTCTCTTAGCTTTGCATGGGAACTTTTTTACTATTGGTATATGTTTTTAATTTCATTTTCTACTTCTCATCTTTATAGGAAATGTCTGAATTATGTTGGAAAGACTTTTTGTTGCTGTTTTCTTTTATCCTAAGGAAAAGGCATGCGGACTTCCTTTTAGACAGGGTCTTGGGCTGCCTATTACACTAGAAACTGATGAGCTTTAGACTAAGATGGAACTGAATATGAATTCTCATTTCAATATAAAGAAGCTGATATCCTTAGGAAAGCAGTTACAATTCTCTGGGCTTTCATTCACTGCTGTGTATATAAGGACAATAATAGTAACCTGACTAGATCTTGGGGCCTTAGAAAAAGCAAATGCAAGTGTAATGTGATGTAGGTATTAAGTGCCTGATTATTATTGCCTAGTAAGTACTACTTTATTCTAATTAATTTTATTTTTAAATGTTTGTTTTACAATTGAATTACAAACTAGTCAACATTAATGCTACTTTTTAAGACAATGCAGCAATAAGCAGGTGATGGTAATATCTACCTTCCGGTTAACTTATCTTTTAAAGAATGTAAAATGTATATTGAAACACTATAAGTTTTATTTGATGTGTCCTATAACATCATCCACAGTTTGAAGTGTGTCGATTTGCTCCCCCCAAGTCTAGTAGAGAAGTAAGCAACTAAAGGCACATAGATGATTGATGAATAGGTCTTCCTAGCTGTTCATGAGGAATAACAGCATCCAGGAAGGATGGCAAGTTTTAGGAGATCTATAGAGAAAACACTGCTGGAGCCCTGAGTAGGCACATTTCTTGCTGGGGCTGATAGCATGAGGTCTGCTGAAGGGGTTACGTTTGAAACAGATCATGCAGATGGGCAGAATTCAGGGGTCAGTGAGAGAAGGCATGCACTAAAGCACGAGGTTGGAAACAAGATACAGTGGGGACTAATAAGAAAAGATACTGAAGCATACGTTTGTACCAGGTGAGAGAAGGCTTGGGTCTTTCTTCCCAGCGGAAGGGATGAGTCTTTAAAGGATTTGAATGGTATCAGGTCTGAGCTGTGTATCAATAAGGCTTATCTTGCAGAAAGGCTTAGGGCATTTTGTAAGAGAAGAGTGTGAACCAAGCAAGTCTCCAGTTGGGAAGATAATTAAGAATATGGAAAGGATTTAAGGAGAGCCTGATGAAGAGTGGTGGAAGGACAGCTGAGCAGCAAGGGCAGCTAGAGCAGTAGCACAAGGGAGTGTGGCCCACCACCCCGGGGTGAGCCACGCCATGGCAGGGTGGGAGGGAGGAGAGGTGGGGAGACATGTGACTAAGTCTGACAGAAAGAATGGTTCCAACAAGGGAAAGGAACACATTAGCTTTAAGAACAAAGGCAAATAAATGTCTCTGCAGATCCAGGGAAGCCTCTGGCCAGGTCCATCAAAGCCCAGAGCCCCGTGAGGGTCTTCCCTCCAGTCTATGAAGTAGGTTGAGTTTTCTCCTCTTCCTCTTGGAGCATGAACACATTGCCTTTTATTTTTATTCAGAGGGCGCCTTGGAGGGAGGGAGTTTGTTCTGGCTGTCAGAGCTGAATCTCTTTGATAAACTCCTGGGAATCTCACGATTCCAATCAAGCAAGTGTTCTGCTGAGTCCTTCAGTTTTCCAGGATGGATGTCAAAGACAGAACACAGGTTTGGTTTGCAGGTCACTGACTAATATATAAGAGAGAAAATCCCATGGGGGAATTCTGTTTGTTTGGTTTTTTTTCCCCCACACACTACTCTATAGTATTCAACTTTCTGTTATAAAAGAAAGAAATGGTATGCCATTCACAGAAGGTGGGTGAGGGGTAAGTTGGTTCAGAAATGTTGTGATTACTATTTAAGGGCTAGAAATAATGCTTTCTCTCTCTCTCTCCCTGTCCCTCTCTTCTCTCTCTCACTCTCTCTCCATTGCTCTCCCTCTCTCTCCCCCTCTCTCTCCCTCCCTCCCTCTCCCTCTCTCCATCTATCTCTCCCTCTCCCTCTCTCCCTCCCTCTATCTCTCTCTCCCTCCCTCTCTCCCTTTCTCTCCCTCCCTTCCCCTCCCTCCCTCTCTCCCTGTCCTTCCCTCTCCCTCCCTCCCTCCCTCTCTCCCTCCCTTTCTCTGTCCCTCTGTCTCTCTCCTTCCCTCCCTCCATCCCTCCCTTCCTCTTTCTCTCCCTCTCTCCCTCCCTCCCTCTCCCTTTCTCTCTCTTTCTCCCTCTCTTCCCCCCCCCTCTGTCTGTCTGTCTGTCTCCCCCCCCTTCCCATTATCTTGGTCAGTGTTTGTCAGGTTCAACTCCAGCCATGGTTTCCCAGTGGAGGTCGATTCTGACACCAGCATCTTCCAGCTCAAGGAAGTGGTTGCTAAGCGACAGGGGGTCCCAGCTGACCAGCTGCATGTGATTTTTGCAGGGAAGGAGCTTCCAAATGACCTGACAGTGCAGGTGAGTCTCCCTGGCAGAGCCTTCCAGGAATGCAGCCAGCCCTATTGCTGATACACCACCCAACATGCCAAGCTGACATTCCTGACTGAGATCTAATAGAATAAATAGTGCCTGGGGATTCCTTGAACTTTACTCCACACGGCTTCATTAATTCTGACCTTCTTAATTATGTATTAAAACAGCAAGTAGGAAGGATTGGAAGAACAACAGTGTGTGTGTGTGTGTGTTAGAGAGAGAGAGAGATTGAGGAGAACGAATTGAACTCTGATTAAATGTTTACTGACTTATAGGAACAGCAAGGCATAATTTCTGGCACTGTTCAATTTCTACCTTATTCTATTTGAATCTTAATGAAGAGGGCTGAAATGAATTGTTCCCAATCAGCTGCTCCCAGTCACTCCGGCTTGGTGAGGGATTTGTGACCCAACTGTGACCCCTGGAGGAGAGTCAGAGCTGCTGTGGTAGAGCATGCGCTGTGCCGAGGGTGAGCCGGGTGAACCCTGAGCTGGTGGGTTAGGAAGACCGGAGCGCCCAGAGTTCGCCAAAGTCCAGTCCTCCAAGGCTCGGTAAAATTGATGCTGACCAACCACAGCGTGGCTGGCCTCCGGGCTCAGAGCTTCCCGGACACCCTTCGGCCCATTCACCTGCAGGCAGGGTGAATGGTGGGCGGAGCCATCGGTGAGAAGCAGGGCTTTGTGGAGAAGACCGTGGGCAGGTGCAAATTCTTCCTGTTCCCAGGAGTCTGTGGGAGGAGGAAGGAGCCTGCCCCCTGGGTGGTGGCTCTGGTGGTGGGCCCAGGCCCTGAGGACACAAGTTCCCCTCTCTTAAATATAGCCCATCAGTTGCTCTCCTTTTCTACCTGTGTGGAGACCACAGTGAGCTAAGAGACTGCCTCTGACCCAGCAGTCCAGTCAGTCCTTTCATCCACACTATCAATGTTGCTTCTGGGCCCAGATATTTACCGCTCTGTGAACCGCTTTTGGAACCTGAGGATACAAAGAAGCTATGGAAATGCAAATCTTTCCTTCATTCTTCCTGCTTCTCCTGCTGCTGGTGGTGGGTAGCACTTTGTGAACAAACTGCTGTGCTTTGCTTTTAGGCAATTTGTTTTTATAAGGGAAGTGCTTGTGCTAAAGAAATGTTTTGATTTTTTTAAAAATTTCAGTCAATTAAAAAGCTTTTCACAGTATCTGACAACCTCTAAATCCAAGACTATTTCCTTCACAAATAAATGATTTTTAAATTGCTCCTTGAATTCAAATACAGTGTATTACCAGAACTTTTAGATGCTAAAGCTCCTCCTCTCTACCATGTAGGCTGATTAGTGAAATAATTCAGGATTTCATTTTTAGTTTGACTAATTGTTACAGAGGATTGATTTTACAAACACACCTACGCATATAATACTTATTGATTTAAGAGCTTTTAACTTGACAAACAACTTATAAACACTCCCAGTGTTCCAGGCTTCTGGGAGGTTGGAGGGGTCCAGCTGAAAAAAAAAAAAAGATAAAACTCAGCCCATGTCTTCATGAATGGAACTCTGAAACCAAGAGAAATGTTAGATTTGAAATTGCCATATTTATAGGTAAAATCCTCAGCAATTTCACGTGGTTCCACCTAGTAGCTATAATTCATGGGTTCCAAGCATAATTGTGACTGAAAAATTAAGAATTGCGAAGTTAAAGGTGGAGAGATACATCTGAGTAGAGTCACCCAGAAGGGCCTCATGGACCAGCTGAATTCAGGTAAGATTCATGGGTGGAAGGCAGAGCACGGAGTGGTTTGTGAAGGAAGGATAGGTTCTTGCTCTTCTGGAATGTAGAGACGATGTTGAAGACTGTGTGTTTGAGACTCTGACAGAACATTGACTGGCTTAGAACTGTGGTTTCATTTATGGAGAATAGTAAGGACAGTGGGAAGGATAGTGAGTTTTTCTGCCTGATGAGAACTGGTGCAGGCAGGATGTGTGTGGAGAGGTCTAGGAAAGGCCAAGAGAGAGCAAGAGTTTCTGAAACAAAAAGCTTAGCAGAAGGTTGGAAGAGACAGGAAATTTTAGCAAGTGAAAAATTCGCAAACTGAAAGAACAATAGAAAATACACAATTTGAGGAAGGGGGGGGGCGCAGAACAGAAGCTGAGAAACCTTTGGGACTGTAACAGAGCACTTGAAGTTTGTGTCATGGAAGTACAAAAAAGACAGGATGAAGTTAGTCAGTGCTAAAAGAAATAATGGCCACACAAACATTTCTCAAAACATATGGACTGCAGGGTAATGAAGGTGAGCAAACCCCTAAACAGAAAAGTCCAAAGAAATCTAAGCCAACACAAGTCATACTTACATTTGTTAAAACAAAAGACAAAGAAAAGTATCTAAAGCCAAAGAAAGTGGCAGTGTCTGTAACTGCAGCTGCTTGAGAGATAGAGGAGGATTGTGAGTTCAAGGCTAACTTCAGCAAAGTTAGCAAGACCCTGTGTCAAAAACAAAATATAAACAAAAGAGCCAGGGATGTACCCAAGTGGCAAGGCCCTGGGTTCAATCCGTAGCACAGAATAAATAAAGAGAGAAATTATATCTTATGCCTGGAGACTAAACACTTTGACTGACAGCAGGTTTCTCAGCAGAAATCCCAAAGGCATAATGGAAGTGACATGATATTTTTCAAGTGCTAGAAGAAAAGAACTGTGGGAGCAGAACCCAATGAGAATATTGTTTAGGAATGAGGTAGAAATGAATGCATTTTTCAGATGAAGAAAAACTAAGAATTTGTTACCAACATGCCAATTAAAAAAACAAAACAAAGCAAGCTACAGAGAGTTGTTTTAAAAAGAAACGAAACAATAGAAGCAACTTTTCCTCTGGAAAGACAGAAGCAAAAGTATGGGTAAATACTAGAAACTTTCTTCCTCTTGATTTTTTCTAAATTGTTTTTAAGGTTTGTAGCAAAAGTTACAAAACTCTTTCACATAACTAAGTGTAGAGGAAGTATTTTAGGGAAATATTTTATAAACTGATGTAAGGAAAGTAAGTTTGTAAACCTCAGGTTTACCTATAAAAGACAATTATAGTAAAACATAACAAGTTATGAATTACAGTCATAGCTAGAGAAACCACTTAAGGGTACTAAGTAGATAAAATCTAGTAACAACATCAAGTGCTAGTGAGGATGTGTGGGCCTGAATTGTTCATACATTGCTAGTGGCCTATAAAGTAGCAGACACTCTAGTAAACAATGTGGTAGTTTCTTAAAAACAACAACAACAACAACAACAACAAAAAACACTGAACATGTATTTCCCACAAGGCATAGTAGTAGTCACACATTTGGTTATTTTAGACAAGATTTATGTGTACACAAACACCTGTACATAAATATCTACAGCATGTTTGTTCAAATTAGCCCAAACTTGTAAACAACCCCCATGTCTTCCAATGGGAGAATGGATAAGCAAACAGTGGGATATCCATACCAGGAATATTACTGAGCAAAGAAAAAAAGAGCTGTCCATTCATACAATATCTTGTAAAGGCTGTTATGCTGAGTAAAAAGAGCCAGCAGAACAGGTCACATGTTGAGTATTTTTATTTCTGAGACACTCTTGGAATAACACAATAATGGAAATGGATTGCAGATTAGTAATTACCAGGAATAAAACCAAAGTGGCAGCTGGAGGTGAACGGTGGCTGTGTGGCTGTGAAGGGAGCAGGAGGGACCCCGAGTGTGGTGGGCATTTGAAAGACTGTTGCTGCTGACCATACAACTGCAGTATCATAGTAGCCTTGTGAGATACCTCGGGAACAACTGGGAAGGGTCCTGGGAGGTCTCTGCGGCCTTTCTCGCCTATGCATTTGGAAGAGTCTCAATTGAAAACACACATGAGCGCGCGCACGTGCGCGCGCACACACACACACACACACACACACACACACACACACACACAAGCAGAACCTCATAATACCGATCATTTTTAGAGGTAGAATATTGACCTAGTGAGTAATTCTAGAATAATAAACAAAAATAGTTTAACTGATTAGAAGGCACACTTAAGGATGAATTTATACGAAAGAGTAGAACAGCAACTTACAGACATATCAAGACTTTGTTTGAATTCTTAAATAGCATCTGCAGTGCTTTATAAAACTGAATAGATGTGGTTAGTATTCATATACAAAATTATTGCCAAATATTTCAACTAAACACAAGATAAGTATTTCTTGACAGATGTGTATACTAGTTGTATGTATTTTCCAAATTCATGTGAACGTCATGTATTACAGTCAGAAATAAATGAACACTTCATGCAACCATCCATGTTAGAATGCTTAGAGAAAACATCTACGTTAAAAATGTTCCCCCTTTTATTGATATCAAAACAATTTAGGAATGAAGTGATTTCATTTGAAAACTAAATGTATTGAAAAATCTTTTACTTTTTTCTATTGAATAGTAGACAGAGGATAGATAAATTTCATGTTGAATGTATTTATACCATGAATTTTCATTTAGTGAAAGAGTTTTGCAAGTAAATGGCTGATAGAATACATTTTCCCTGTGATTATAAAATGGAAGGAAATGAGGCTAAACAGCACACTATCCAGAGAATAATGATCTGGTCATTCTTTTGTCCCTGGGAGTGCAGCTGTGTAAACGTCGCCTCGGTCACTGCAGGGCTGTGCAAGCATGTTTTCTCATCTGCCTTTGTTAATGGACTGTACTGCTGGCCTCGTGGTTCATTTAGGTGCATATAAATTCCTCTAGAGCTGATTCCGAGAATCAGCTCGGTACTGTGGAAGCTGGTAAGTCAGCATGAGAGTCTAGAATCAAAGGGTGGTAATAAGTACAGAACAAGGTCTTTCTTAAGGAAGACCCTTGTTTCTTCTGTTTATGTCTGCTTGATTGTGCATGTCAGGGGAAAAGAAACTTGAAATTCCTCAGCTCTGTGTATCATTCAGAACCCTCAGAAACATTTTTCTGTTGGCATTTCTCTGTCACTCTAGACT